ATTTTTTTTTTTGGCAATTTCTAAATTTCTTTTTTTTCTGCACCACCCACCTCCCCCACCCCGCGCACTAAAAAAAAATATTTTACTTTTTTTTTTGTAATTTAAATTTTTTTTTGTTTTACTGCCCCCAGCCCCGCCCCCCCGAAAAAAAATTTTATATGTATTTTTCAGTTTTAATTTTATTATTTATCGGTTTAAAGGCTCAAAATTTTACAAGTTTCAAAATTATGAGTTCGGAGGTTTATGTGTTTGGAAGTTTACGGGTTTAGAAATTATATAGTTTACGGGTTCGAAATTCCGCGATTTTGAAAGTTTAGCGGTTCGAAGTTTATGAAATTTGTGGGTCCGTAAGGTTGTTGGTTTGAAAGTTTATGGTTTTATGTTTATTATATTTAAATTATTCATGAATACTCTTGAGAAGTCATTTACCTTAATTGGCGTACCAAACACCGGAAAATGAATAAGACTACTACTTGTTTTCCAAGAAAACATTTTCCACGGAAAATATTTTCCGTTATACCAAACACACCCTAAATTTCCATTTAAAAAGGCGATTTTTACATCCATTTGATGTAGCTCTAAATCATAATGAGCTACTAAAGCCATTATAATTCTGAGTGAATCTGACTCATTCGTAGTTTAGTAGAATTCTTAGTTTAGTCAGTAGTTTAATTTTACTAGAATTCTTAGTTTAGTAGATTTCTTATATCTGTAGACTCTAGTTATGCTTAATAGCTTTGTAATAAGACTCTATTTAAAGAGACAGAAGGAATAAAGAAAGGAAGGCAAGATTTATATTAAAAAACAAGAGATCTGGGACTCTCTCTAACGAGTTCTAAGGTTATAGGCTCCCTTTAACGAGCTTATTTATTGTTATCAAAATAGGTCGCTCACAGAATAGAAACAAGGGAAAGGATCTGTTCAACACGGACTTTCCAGTGAATCGCCTGTGACAAGATCCATTCTGCGTGACCATAACAACTTGGTATCAGAGCCAAACACTATGGGCGATCCAAGCAAACGTGAAGAGTTACAGGCTCTCCTTCAAGAGGCGCAGGCTGCCAACGAAGCACGAATAACAGAAGCGGTGGCACAATCTGAATCAAGGATGGTTAATCAGCTGCAACAATTATCGTTACAATTGCAGGAGTTCATTGTTGGGTTTAACAAAAATCAAGGAAAGGATTCTGATGCTGGAGCGAGCAGCAATGTAGGCAACCAACCCTACAGACCAGAGAATCGGCCTAATCAGCTGACAGGAAATAGTGTAGTACCAAGGTACACAAAGCTGGATTTTCCTACTTTTGACGGATCTGAAGACCCATTGATTTGGCTACACCGTTGTGAGAAATTCTTCTCCAATCAGAGAACAAATGAAGTAGATTGTTAGAATAGTCGTGTAAATAGGAGTAAATAACTCTAACCCTAATCCAATATGTATTAGGAGTAGGATATGTTATGTGTGTATATATAGGGCTCATTGTAGCATTGTCAATTAATCAATAATAATATTTTTCTCCCGTGCATTCTCACATGGTATCAGAGCATTAGTGAGAAACATATCGCTGTGCATCATTCCAGCGACTTCCGGGAAGAAAGACCTCGTCGCCGTGCAATTTTCCGGCGACTTAGAAGGCTGCCCGTAATCAAGTCACTTTCTATCGGTGTTGTGCAAAAAAACCAACACCACCACGAGGTAGATCACTCGTCGGTGACCAACCCTTCAAAATTTCTCCGGCAGAAAAGCTGCCACGCGCCCACACGCGCCGGCAGAAGAATTTTTCCGGCGAGCGCGTGACACCCACGCGCCGGCGCGTGAGCCCACTTCCGACCATTTTTTGATGAAACTCCTTCAGGGCAGTTGGATCGTCCTTAAATTCCGAGCCTACCCATAATTTTATTTTTCAATTCCGACCACTTTGGAATTTTCCGGCGAGCTACAGTGATTTTTCCGGCGTGAACAGTGATCCCGGCGATTTTCTGCTTTTTTCCGGCACAATATTATAATGGAATTAATACCTGAAGCTTTTGCCTCACAATCCGCTGGATTAAATGCAATAAATCCAATCCAGATGGTTTCTTTACCGGATTATATTGAGTTCCTTCAGNAAGTTGAAGCAACATCTCTTTCAGCACTTTCAGACTAAGGATCTGGGCAGATTAAAATATTTTCTGGGTATTGAGGTCGCTCAGTCTAGCTCAGGTATTGTGATCTCACAACGGAAGTATGCCTTAGATATTCTTGAGGAGACAGGAATGACAGGTTGTAGACCTGTTGACACTCCGATGGATCCGAATTCTAGACTTCTGCCAGGACAGGGAGAGCCTCTTAGCGATCCTGCAAGATATAGGCGGTTGGTTGGTAAACTAAATTACCTAACAGTGACTAGACCTGATATTTCCTTTCCTGTGAGTGTTGTGAGTCAGTTATGGATTCTCCCTGTGATAGTCATTGGGATGCAGTTGTCCGCATTCTTCGGTATATAAAATCAGCTCCAGGCAAAGGCTTATTGTTTGAAGATCGAGGCCATGAGCAGATCGTTGGATACTCAGATGCTGATTGGGCAGGATCACCTTCTGATAGACGTTCTACGTCTGGATATTGTGTCTTAGTAGGAGGAAATTTGGTGTCTTGGAAGAGCAAGAAACAGAATGTGGTTGCTCGGTCTAGTGCAGAAGCAGAATATCGAGCAATGGCTATGGCCACATGTGAGCTAATTTGGATAAAACAGTTGCTCAAGAAGTTGAAATTTGGTGAGATTAGTCAGATGGGACTTGTGTGTGATAATCAAGCTGCTCTTCATATTGCGTCAAATCCAGTATTCCATGAGAGAACTAAACACATTGAGATTGACTGTCATTTTGTTAGAGAAAAGATACTCTCGGGAGATATTGCTACAAAGTTTGTGAAGTCGAATGATCAGCTTGCAGATATTTTCACCAAGTCCCTCACTGGTCCTCGTATTAACTACATATGTAACAAGCTTGGTACATATGATTTATATGCACCAGCTTGAGGGGGAGTGTTAGAATAGTCGTGTAAATAGGAGTAAATAACTCTAACCCTAATCCAATATGTATTAGGAGTAGGATATGTTATGTGTGTATATATAGGGCTCATTGTAGCATTGTCAATTAATCAATAATAATATTTTTCTCCCGTGCATTCTCACATAGATAAGGTGGAATTGGCAGCATTCCATCTTCTAGGTGAGGCACAGTTATGGTATCATCAAGTGGAACAAGAGTATCCCTCTATTGATTGGTCTGAATTCAAAGAATATTGTGCTCTCAGGTTTGGGCCTCCACTGGGCAGTAATCCACTAGGTGATCTGGTTAACCTTAAGCAAACAGGCTCAATTGAAGAATATCAGCGCCAATTTCAAGAACGGTTAGCTAGGGCCAGTAAGTGTGTTCGTGTTGACCAGCAAGTTAGTCTTTTCACTGCCTGGCTGATCGATTCCATTCGGCTTGATGTTGAAATGTGTAGTCCACCAGATTTGGTTCATGCCATGAATATAGCTCGAGCTTTTGAAAAGAAACAGAAGTTGGTGCGGGCGACATCTTCTCAAAGTGAGACTTGGCAAGGGACTAAAGGCTATTTCAGTACTACTACAAGTTCAACAATTCCAACTCCAAAGGGCAGCAATGCACCAGGTGGTATTACTGAACCAAAGTTGGTAAGTTCATCTGCTCCTTTCATAAAGAAGTTGTCACGAGCTGAAATGGCAGAGAGAAGGGCAAAGGGATTGTGTTATAATTGTGATGAATTGTATTCGATTGGGCATCAATGTAAGAAGCTATTTTGGTTGGAACTTGCTGATCAGGATGCTGAACATTTTCGTAATGCTTATCCAGACTTCGAGCTTGAGGACAAGCTCTTTAAAGAGGAGGGGGTAATGTTACAGACTCATTCGTAGTTTAGTAGAATTCTTAGTTTAGTAGAATTCTTAGTTTAGTCAGTAGTTTAATTTTACTAGAATTCTTAGTTTAGTAGATTTCTTATATCTGTAGACTCCTAGTTATGCTTAATAGCTTTGTAATAAGACTCTATTTAAAGAGACAGAAGGAATAAAGAAAGGCAGGCAAGATTTATATTAAAAAACAAGAGATCTGGGACTCTCTCTAACGAGTTCTAAGGTTATAGGCTCCCTTTAACGAGCTTATTTATTGTTATCAAAATAGGTCGCTCACGAAATAGAAACAAGGGAAAGGATCTGTTCAACACAGACTTTCCAGTGAATCGCCCTGTGACAAGATCCATTCTGCGTGACCATAACAGAATCCTTTCTAGAGACCGGTGAAAAAGTCTCTTTATAGTCAATGCCATCTTTCTGAGTAAAACCTTTGGCAACAAGTCTGGCCTTGTGATGTTCAATGTTGCCATTCGAGTCGCGTTTGGTCTTAAAAAGACCCATTTACACCCGACTCTTTTGCAACCTTCCGGTAATTCAACAAGGTCCCAAACTTTATTCTGTTCCATAGACTTCAACTCATCTTTCATAGCATCAAACCATTTATCAGAATTATTACTTTCAATGGCTTGTGAAAATGAAACTGGATCATTAGCAATTCCAAAGTCAATTTCTGACTCATGTAGATAAACTAAATAATCATCTGAAATAGCAGATCTCTTTTGTCTTTGAGACCTTCTTAATGCTACTTCTTGTGGTTCATCTACTGTAGGTTCATTAACTGCAATTTCATTATTAGTAGTAGGATCATTTATTTGTTGTTCTTGCTGGTTGTTAGGTTGTACAACAACTTCAGGAACAACAAGTTTAGAAGAAGTGCAGGGTAGAGGAACTTGCATCCTGACTTCTTTAATTTCCACATTACGTGGTTCCTCACTCCCACTATTTTCACCATTCTCAATGAACCTAGCATTTCCAGTTTCAACTATTCTCGTACTATGATTTGGACAGTAAAATCTATACCCTTTTTGATTTTTCTGGATAACCAATGAAGAAATCACTGATCGTTCTTGAATCCAGTTTCTTTTCAAGTGGATTATAAATTCTTATTTCTGCCGGGCAACCCCAAATATGCAGGTGCCTCAAACTAGGTTTCCTACCAGTCCAAAGTTCAAAAGGAGTCTTTGGGACTGCTTTACTAGGAATCCTATTTAATAAGTATACGGCACTCCTTAATGCATACATCCACAATGAGATGGGTAAAGATGAATTACTCAACATACTCCTAACCATGTCCATTAATGTACAATTACGCCTTTCAGCCACACCATTTTGTTGTGGAGTGTCAGGCATTAAGTATTGAGCACATATGCCACGTTTTTCAAGGAATTTAGCGAATGGACCAGGGTGTTGTCCAGTTTCGTCATATCTTCCATAATACTCACCACCTCTGTCTGACCTGATTATTTTCACCTTTCTATCTAGTTGTCTTTCAACCTCATTAATAAATACCTCTAAGGCATTCACTGCTTGAGATTTTTCATGCAACAAATAGACATATCCATAACGTGAAAAGTCATCAATAAAGGTGATAAAATATCTTTCCTTACTGAAAGAAGTGACATCAAAAGGACCACATATATCGGTGTGTATAATTTCAAGAAGTTGAGTGCTTCTTGTGGCTCTTTTCTTTGTGTGTTTTGTTTGTTTTCCTTTAATACAATCCACACAAATATTAAGGTCCGTAAAATCTAAATGTGGAAGGATTTCATTCTTCACTAGCCTTTCCAGTCTTTCTTTAGATATGTGACCTAAGCGTTTATGCCACAAGTAAGCTGAACATTCATTCACCAAACTATGTTTGGTTCCAACATTATGATGCAGAGTTAGGACGGTTTCGGCAAACAGATTATCAAGGTTCAATTTGTAGAGATTATCACAAATAATACCAGAACCAATAAGATGATTATGCTTAAACAAACTGAAACATCCATTGCCAAAATTTAAAAAATATCCAGCTTTATCTAACTTAGACAAGGAAATTAAATTTCTTGAAAGAGAAGGTACATAAAAAGTTTCAAATAAGTCTAAGTGACACCCAGTATCTAGGATTAAACGATAAGTCCCGACAGCTTCAATTGGAGCCTTCACTCTATTCCCCATGTACATAAATCTTTCATTCCGATTTATGGTCTGGGTTGTAAGGAATCCCTGCATCATATGAGAAACATGAACAGTAGAACCAGAGTCAATCCACCAAGTATTATAAGGAACTTCAGTTAAATTTGATTCGAGACACGTAAAAGCACAAGGCTTACCTTTCTTCTCGAACCATGCCTTACGTTTCAGGCAATCTTTCTGAAAGTGTCCAGGTTTTCCAAAGAAACGACACTTACTATTCTTGTGTTCCTTCTTACGTACTTGAGAAGAGGACTCATTGACATTATGTTGCCTCTGCTTAACTTTTCCATGTTTCTTTCCTTTCTTTCCAGCTCCTTGATGGCCTACAAGATTAATGGAGTGGGTTCCTTGATTCTTCAGCCTTGTTTCCTCTTGAACCAGCATACCGTGCAGTTCATGCACGTTCCATTTGTCTTTCATGGTGTTGTAGTTCATTTGGAAAGGGCCATACTCAGATGGTAATGAGTTAATAATGAATTGAACAAGGAAATTCTCATCCACTTCCATTCCCAAAGTCTTAAGTCTTGCTGCTATATTTGTCATTTCAATGACATGCTCATGCATGGTACGCGAACCATCAAATTTTATGGTGGTTAAAGTACCCATTAGTGTCCCAGCAAGAGACTTATCAGCAGTTTGAGAGCATTCTTCCACAAGTTTCAGAAGTTCTTTCGCGCTTTCAGTTTTGGGAAGAGTAGTCTTAATGTTGCCCGCAATATTCATTCGTATAAACATTAGGCTTAATCTGTTAGACCTGTCCCAGTGCTTAAAATAGGACCTTTCTTCAGTACTACTAGTTTCAGTAATAGCTGTTGGCCTCTCAGTATAAAGTGCAACATCAAGATCTAAAACTCCAAGATGGAATTTTATCTGTTCGCACCAATCTGAGAAGTTGAGTCCGTTAAAGGTCGTAACAGAAGCGGAGTGCGAATGAAGAGCAAGTGCTGCAAATAAAATATGCCCATTCATTAATGCTTTGAGTTAAAATTAAATATATCGTTAAATTCAGAATGGTTTATGTTTTACTCTTAAATGTATATTGATGTCCACCTTTGGGCGTAACACAAAATACATTTTTTTAACATAATGATGCTTAAAATAAATTTTACATAATTCGATAATTTTAACGTACAAGTTAGTAGTATTTACTATCTTTGGATAAATAAATAAAACTAACGATACATTTAAATTATCGATTTAATGTTCAGTAATTATAAGAACAAACAATCAACCTTTGGGCGATCCATAAATGTCTTATAATCAAGAACTTCAATTTACCCACAAAAATATCCATCATGTCGTTTATAAACATTAAAACTTATGGGTAATTGGGTATAACAAATCATTATTTTTTGGAATTAATTATTCATAATGATTCGATCACTTTGGTGATTAACGAACCTCATGTTTATAATTCCAACGAAATTTTGAAACGGTATTCTTCCAAATATAATTCTTAAGTTTGGATTTTATCATTGAATCCACATCGGCGAATCCAATAAATTCATAAGTATTCTACTGTGTCTAACTAGCGTGATGAATATTGTTTTCACGATTTCACGTTTACTTACTAATTATGAATTCAAGTATTTGAAGCAAATCTTTTACTTGTCGAATCCACAAAGCGAACAGGATCATGAAATCAAATGATAATCAAATATACTATTGGTCATCAACACATAAAAATCAATTTATATCTGCTTCGCTATTACTATTGACAGTAATTGTGAAGTTCCTTGAATACACAATTAGGATTCACAAAATTAAGGAAACGTTAATTTTAGCGGAAAATCATTAGTTCCTAAACCTGTGCTCTGATACTAAATGTTAGGATTTTCTCAATTCTAGATTGTGATTTATAAACAATCTATATAAATCCTTTCAATTATTCAGAACCGTGGAACTATATGATTTTCACATAAAATAGAGATACAATAACTTCAATTAAGAAAACTTACCTGAATCCATGATGTGTTTTCTTAATAAAATTGAGCGGAAGTCTTCTTCAGAGTTGTTGTTCTTGAGAAAATCAGTATTTCTCTCTCTTTTCCTTTTCTATGTTCTTTTCAGAATAGAATAGATGGAGTACGCTATTCTTCCTTTTAATAGGCAGAGAGAGGGACCATCAGTTAATTCCCACTTTCAATCAAAGTGGGTTAGTGGGGAGTTATAACCATAATTAACTTCCCCCACTTTCCACTTTCCATCAAAGTGGGTTAGTGGGGAGTTATGACCATAATAACTTCCCCTAATTTTATCCAAATATTAATTTAACAAAATATATTTATATTAAACCAAAATACTCACGTGGCCCATATTTTACACCGGGTACCTGGTACCTCCCATCAACACAGGTACTCCCTCTGCCCACCAAGGCTTAGGTGGATGGGAAAAAGTTATATTTTCCACTCTGAAGAAATTGTATTCCTAATTGGTAGGAAACATAAAAAAGAATCTTTGGCCATTAAAACTAAAACTGCAGCAAGAACCAACACAATGTGATCAAATAGTAGCAAAAAAACATGCATTGGGGAATGAATATAATGAAGTCCTCCTATATGGATATTCAAAATTTCTATACATGCTCGAGAAATAAATACTGTACAAAAAGGTGTTGAATTACATGCCTGAGCATAAGGACTGTCCAAATTTCCCATGAGAGGAGCTTCCTTGGGCAAACCTACACCTAACGTCCTCGCGAAATTCAAATCGTTTTGGTAGATTTTCTCGAAGAGATCACCATAGACCTTGTAAAAGCCCTTGCCTTTATCAGAGTAACCAGAATAAACTGAATTGGAAAAGAAGGAGAATAAGTCGGGGACAGAACCGGAATTAGACGAATTCGTTGGACCGGAATTGGACGAGAAGAGTATCTGAGAGCGGTGCGAGTCGTACCAAGCGCGCTCCCGCGCGTCAGACAGGACTTCGTAGGCGTTCACCAGCTCCTGAAAGGCAGCTGTGGCTTCGGATTCCGACACGCCGGATTTAACTAGCTTGTCAGGGTGGCGTTGCAGAGCGAGCCGCCTGTAGGCGGACCGGATCTCGTCGGGGGTGCAGTCACGGTTCACGCCTAGGACCTCGTAGAGGCATCTTTTCTCCGACGACGCCATTATCGACGGGAAAGAAAGAAAGACTGGTTTTCCTTTTCTTTCTTTCTTCCTGTTTGCGGTGCTTTTATTAGGGTTTTGTCAATCCGGGGAAATCTGTTTAAGGGACGATGTTTGATATGATAGTTTCTTTCATTCATGTATAAATAAGTAACTTACTCTCTGGGGATAACTTTTATGTGAATATTGAATCGTCCCTATTAAAATAAAAATAGAACTTGTTTCGCAAATCAACAATTTTTTCAATTAAAGTTCATGTCAATAACAACTTTAGTTTCTACAAATTTTTGTTTGGCTTCAACTTCAAAATTTCAAATAACTTCTTTCGTCTTTTATTCAACTTTGGATCCTACAAACTTTTTATTTGGTTTCAACTTCAAATAATTATTTTTCGTCAACTTCAACTCAAATGTAAAATAAAATTGACATATTACATTTGCAGTTCAAATATTCATTTTTTTTTGTGTGTGTGAAAAAACTTAATGCATTTTAACTTGTACACATTATTGAATCTAGGCATAGTTGAGTAATCGATGAAGTTTTTATCACATTAAGTGGGCGTTTGGACATAAGAATTGTAAAATTTCAAGAAAAAGTGAATGAAAAAAAAAAAAGTGAAAATGGTATTTGAAAATTAGAGTTGTGTTTGGACATGAATATAATTTTGGGTTGTTTTTGAATTTTTGTGAGTGATCTGAGTGAAAATTAAAAAATAACTTTTCGAAATTTTTCAAATTTTCGAAAAATTACAAAATGCATCTTCAAGTGAAACTTGGAAATTTTATGATCAAACGCTAATTTCGAAAAAAAGTGAAAATTTTCGAAAAAAATTAAAATTTCTTATGTCCAAACGGGCTCTAAATAAACTTGTGATATATGATTTATATAGTTTTTATTTTGTTCTTAAAACATATGATTCGTAGTTGGATAATATTCATGTTTCAATAAGGTTTCGTTGCCAATTGTATTGATGAAGGCACTTGCAACGTCAACTCGACCATTATCTCCTTGTGCAAATTGCTTTAATAATATTTTGATAGGTTTTCAATATCTTTGCCTTGTGTTTTGATGATCTAACAAACTTAATGTCAAGAATCAGATAGGGAACCTGACTCACTTGGATTACACTGCATCTATCAGATTCCAGCTAAAGGAGAACTGCTACAGCTTCAGGAGCTAGGAACCCAAAACAAGGACCTGATACTCTTGTGGGTTCCTCACAGCAGTACAAAGTCAATTGGACACAGCTGGAAACGAAGTGATTGCCTGCACTGTTTCTGCCGCACTGCACTGTTTCCAGCGCCCACTCATTCTCTGACCAACTAAAATGCTCACATCATTACAAGTGATGTGATCAAGGTGTACCTACAATGAGTTTATACAAAACATCATTCAAGTTACTCAACTCAAGACAATCTGGGCAGTCTGCACAAGAACCAGATTAGGAACCTGATCCCTTAGTGCTCACCTGACAGAAGTACAAGTCAACTATACATTTGGAACGCAACTGCAGAAAATGACTGTCCGCAACCGTACAAAGAGGAACACAACAGGGACCTGGTCCCTTAGGGTTCTTTGACAGAAGTACAAGTCAACTACAGCTGGAAAGCCATTGCAGAAAGTGACTGCCTGCAACTGTACACGCGACAGTGCAACAGACAGTGCAGCAGTCACTTCCCATTGAGAAAAAGCATGTACTGACCAAGATTTGACATCACCATTGTGAATTGACATCACCATGGTAATGTCTTTTGTAATATAACAACATGGTGCATGGGATCTGATCACTTGAACACTTGCAAAATCAGAAAAGGAAACATTCTCTCAAGTGCTCAAGAACAAAACTGTTGCAACCTCAAGGACCTGATCCAAGATTGATGATATCTTAAGTCCTTAGGGTTGTTGAGTCTTTGTTATGTGTTCTTCATTGTAACTCCTATCCTGCTTTCTTAGAAGCGTTGATTAGGAAACCTTTGTAAATCCGTAAACTCCCTGAGTTTATGTTGTGGCTAGGTTTAGTCATAAGCAAAAGCCTTTGTAACCATAGTGTGACAAAGTGACTTGATCACGCCCAACTATGCCTTATAAAAAGGACTAAGCGGACGTTGCAAATATAATTTGAGTATTTAGCCCAGAGTCGAACCCACAAGGAATTAACCTATCAATTACTCTTGTTAGACTCACTAAATTCTACGTAATCAACTTCCCAAATATTTTGAATAACAATTGAGGATATTCTTACTAACTATAACTGATTGCAATTAAGTAAATAAAGACTAACTATGATTAAGTTGTAAACAATTAAGAGAAGGATCTAAGGTTACGATTTCCCCTATTGATTGAATCCCTTCATGTTATGTTTCATATAGATTTGCCTAACCGTCTCTATCAATCATGAGCACTCTTATTACCGTAAATCTCTTCCGAGTAATCACGATAATTTACTAGACGCACTCTCCCGAGTTACGCTAGCTGGCTTTTATTACAACTCACTTAAGATTGCACCCAAGGCTTCGTTATCCCTAATCCCGCCTTTAAACCCTCAGTTATTGATCCCTCATATACTTTGGGAGTGGTGTTGTTCAACAATTACCTAAATATGCTCTCTCTCCCGAGTAATACATACTAGATAGGCACAGCTAATTGAGGATCGTATCAATTAACTACAACAAAAACGTAGTTGAACAAATAGAAAATAAACCGGGAAAACTATATTAACATAACACGAAGTTCATCCTTCAATAGGTTCCATCAAAACCATAGACAAAGTATTTAGCTACTCATAACAAAGCAAGATGAAATCACTAGAGTATTCATAATGTGCAAAATAGAATAACAAAGAGAAGATTGAAAAACTCTAATGGTTGATAGCTCTTCTCACACTTGTTCTTGCCTCCAATTCAGTTTAAAAACAAGTTTAACCTTTGCTTGGGCGAGTTTGTTGAGTTTATAAAGGGTTAGGATAAGTTTCCCCCGATTTACACTTTAGTCACAAAATTTCTGGCAGTTACACCGTCCATCGCGGTCGCGGCAGAACGCGGCACGACCGCGGTGAAACACAACTATTTTGCCTCACGTTCTTGGCCTATCGCGGTCCAGCCGCGGTCGACCGCGGTCGCGGTGGCTTCTTGCCCAGTCCTCCTTTGCCTCTTTCTTGCTTATTTTCGTTTGGGTTCTTCTTGATTGGCCTTATATCCACATTGTTGACTCCAAAACACTCTATTGTATCTTCCTAACTTGGATTAGTCCCTGCAAAGCAAAAGAACACCAATTAGAGTATTTTGTTATCATTTAGCCAGTTAACTAAAAAACGGATCATTCCTTTGCTTTTGGAAGAACCAATCACATACGTGTGTAGAACTGAACATTGAAGAAATCTCAAGAGAAATAAAAGATTCGATGATGTAATCAAATAATAGTACTATGGTTCGAGAGAAAGTAACAGTATCTACTCGGACACTACAGTGGAAGTGTGTTGAATCAAGAACAGACAGTAAACACCTTTATTATGGAAGCCTTATTCTGTCTCCACTTATGAAAGGCCAAGCCGACACAATAGGCATTGCGATGCGAAGAGCGTTACTTGGAGAAATAGACGGAACATGTATCACACGTGTAAAATTTTAAAAAGTCCTACATGAATATTCTACCATAACGGGCATTCAAGAATCGGCACATGAAATTTTACATTTGGTTCATCCTATTGGTGTGACCCATCCGAAATAAGTATCTTCTAAATAAATGTGAGAATTCCAATGAATCCCTAATTGTCTTTTTTTGTTAGCCTATCGATAATTCCCTAAATTAGACATGCTTAATCTAGAACAGAACGTGCAATCCTTGAATATCTGAAATTGTCTAAGTGGAAATAGCTTTCTTATCATTCAATGAGCATTTTGTATTTCATGCGTACCCAGTAAAACTTACAAGTAAACCAGATATAAAGATGGAGACTAGGGTTGCTGTTTCCATTCTTATCATATTTATAAAATTTCAAGATCTTGCTTTGACAATGAAATTCTGCCCCCGGTCCCCTTCATAAAATTCATAAAAAGGGATAGATTTATTGATATATTTATTGGATCCATCGAATTCATTGGATCCTTTCCGCGCTCGAGAATCCCCCCTTCTTCCACTCCGCCCCGAAGAGTAACTAGGACCAATTTAGTCACGTTTTCATGTTCCAATTGAACACTGTCCATTTTTTATTATTCTCAAAGTTCGAAAGGTTGCCCTATTCGGGAATCTCCGGATCTATGCTTATTTTCAACTCCCCGAAGCATTTGAATTTCAAGTATTCAATTTCACTAATAAGATACGGAGACTTACTTCACATTTAGAATTGTACAAAAAAGACTATTTATCTCATAGAGGTTTGAAGAAAATTTTGGAAAAACATCAACGACTGCTAGCTTATTTGTCAAAAAAAAATAGATGTATTTGAGAGACATTCGAGAGACAAAAACTCGTTAATTTGATTTATTTGAAGAGTCATTTCATTTTATATAAAGAACACGACGAGCATAAATACCCTCTTTAACTTCTATTCTAACTGACTGAATATCTTTTATCAGAGGTTTTCCCTGACTTTGTCCGTGTCGACAAACAATTCGAAATACCTCGACTTTTTTAGAACAGGTCCGAGTCAAATAGCAATGATTCGAAGCACTTCTTTTTACACTATTCCGGAAACCCAAGGACTCAATCGTATATACGTTTATCCTTCACTTCATTCTTTTTCTTTCTGAATTTTCGATGTAAAGATTCCTCTACCAACGCATTTAACTCCATTTGTTAGAATAGCTTCCATTGAGTCTCTGCACCTATCCTTTTTTTCTGAATCTTTGTTTGTTTTCGGAAAACAGTATTTGGCTCAGGATTGCCCATTTTTGTGAATCCTTCCAGTAGTATCGGCCATTTACCCCACTTCCCTCCAGATTTCATCAAGTACACTTTCTCTTTGTGGTACCTTTAAAACAACCATAAAGTATGGCACATTTGGAGTGTAAATAGCATCTATATAGCCTATTATCAACACCCCACGCTTAAACCGTTGCTAGTCCTCTAGCAACAAACCACGCTCTATAGGCCTAATCGTCATTTGGTCACTTCCCTACTCCCTATACCAAGACTAGTTCACATGGATA